ACAGTGCCACCTGCTGCCACCGCCCCCAGCCCCGGCCCAGGCTGCGGGGCTGGGGACAGCACTGGCCTTTTCTGGGGGAACCGCAGCTTTCCAGCCAGCTCCAGAGCTGCCTTCCCTCTCCAAGCTTCTCCCAACTTCCATGCAATGCCCAAAGCACCGACCCATGCGCTTCGTAGGGTGCCCCGTGCGCTTCAGACTTGCACGGTTGGGAACAGAGTCAGCCCCACAAAAGGTACCCCCAGCCACAACTCCCCCCACCCAGACACCCCCACATTCAGTCCCCTCAATAAATCCACCCAGATGCACCAAACCCTCCTGAGCAACGTATAACAGGAGGCGCCCTCAGAGAGCCCGCAAGGTCAATTATAATTTTTTATTAAATATACATCCTCTCTTGGCACAAATCTTAAAATATATAAACATTATATAACAAACTTGTCTTCACTGCAATAAAATAGAACTCCAGATCCAAGAAAAGCAGCCCGAACCGACACACAGGTGGACACGCACACAGGGGTGGTGAGGACACGTCTTGACAAAAGGCATTTAACAGTGTTTGTGCCAACATATGCATAGACCACACAGGCAGTGCCCAGTGCTGGGAAACTGCGTGGCACGGCGTTTAGGGGGGAGACGGGGGTAGCGGGAGGGATCAGCCCCTACAATAAAATGAAAAAGGCTGTTTTGTAGGAAGGCCACCTCCTCCTCTGGTCCAGTCCAGGCATGGAGGGTCCATAACACCCATCCTGGCTCTCCGCAGAGCCCAAGCACCCAGGGAGGCACTGGGGAAAGGGCACGGGAAGAATCCCACCGCGTTTCCTCCCTCTCCTGCCCGCCCAGGACTGGCACCAGACTCACTCGGGGTTGCCACAGCACTTCTGCTCAAAGTTTCCCCTCGTGCCTCATCTGCTGTAGTGTTAAAGACACCAGAGGGTGAAGATGATAGTGCTCGAGTGCTTCCAGGCGGAAGGTGATAAGAAGTTAACAGAAGTACCGCTGTTTTGCCACAGAAGCTACCGAACCGCTTTCGGAGAGCTCCCACGGAGTACCACCGCTCCACCACACTGCCCACCCCGCGGCTGCCAGTGGCTTTGTGCCTCGGGAAGCTGAGACTCCTCTCCTGATCCTTCCACCATGGTCCTGCCAACTGCCAGCTGGCTCTCCGGCAGCCCTGCCTTCCCAGGGAACCGGCAGAGGTCTGCGCAGAGCACGCGGGGCAAGCAGGTTTGCAAGAAGCCAGCTCAGATCCCACCTCTCATGTATTTAAGTTCCATAACTCACCCTTCTGAGGCTCCCAGAAGGACCAGCTCTCCCCGAGTGACCTCCCCAGCAAGCAGCCACTGTCACAGAGCAAGCGGGCATCCCGTGGAGGTACCGAAAGAGGAAACGACAAGAAGCAGCAGCATGTCACGGCTTGCGAAGGAAAGGTGCTAGGAGAAGGAAAGGCACTAGGAGGGACAAGTAGTTCAAGAACCTTTCAAGAAAACCTTCTGTCCCATCATCTAGTGCCTTTAACTTCTTGCCCCCCTCCCAAGCATCCTTGCCTGTGAGCAGGAAGCCTGGTTGGGATGTCTGGGTGTCACTATCGAAGCTGCAATTTTGTCATTTTGGATGCGTTTCATTGGACCTGATTTTCTCGAAGTGCTCGTGCGGGACTAAAGGTGCAAAGCAGGGAGGGAGAATAGACAAGGAAAAAAGCACAAATTAATGTTTGGCGGTCACGCGTTAAGGAACGATGAGAAATGTGACTTGAAAATAAAAGCAAGGAATTGGAGAAGAATAAAATTAAAAATTGGGGAATTTGCAGTAGTAAAGAAGTTCTAAAGAAAAGAAGGACTAGAGAATATTCCTGTTAGACTTGTCTCCTTTCTCAGAGCTAAAGGCAATGGACCTTCTTGGCCAGCACACAGGCACCCTCCCTTTCCAAATCAGCATGCCCAAAACTCCTTGGGCCCTCACTCCAGGCAGCAAAGAGATGTGGAACACGTCTCCATTCATGCAAGGATTAAGAGAAGGGAAGAGAACACTCCGTTTCTCCTTTTCTACATTCAAATCAGAGAGGAAGGAAACAAAAAAAAAAGCTATTTAAAACAACCCAAAGCAATAACACACATTTACTCTGAACACTTTTGCCCAAGAAACAAAAGCACCAAAACCATTACAGACTGAATTCAAAGATCTGTCTCTGAACAAACACTCAGCCTGCAAAACGTGGAAAAACGTGTCTGGCTAAAATTCCATTGAATTAAAATCGGGTGCAGCTGCTAATTGAGGAACAACTTATCTGAGCCCAACGCTTCCAAGTCTGGCTGTGTTTCAGGTCTTGTTTCTCAGCTCAGAGTCCCCAGGCTCCAGACGAGCTGCCTGCACCACGTTTCGGCTGCAAGGTGGGCGATGCCAGGGTCAGCCAGCCAGAAGCTGCCTCCTCCCCAGGCTTCCCGTTGGTTTCATATACAGCTGCACTCCTGACGTGGCAGAAGGGACCCTGGGCAGATCTGCCCTCCCGTTCGGTCCCAAACAAGAGCCTAGTCATCCAGTGTAAATCCTTTCTCAGTTAGGACCCAGGAGGAATTAAGCTACCTCTGTTGCCATAGAGGTTCAGTGATGCTCAACATCTCATAAGACAAGGTCTGCTGCGCTCGCCCCTGCCAGGACCTACCGTACTGCGGAGCAAAGGAGCTCGCTGCAACCCAGATGCCCAGTTCAGCTCTCTCTCATCTTCATGTAGGGTCTTCACATCGGACCCATGGGCTGCGCAGAAAGGACTGCGCTCTGAACTGGCAGCCTCCAAGCTGAGGGAGAACTTGGCATGGGCTGTACACACAGTCAGACACACACACACACACGGGCAACTGCTGTTGCTGGGCTGTACCACACTTTTGTGGTAGGATGCAACTGCCTTAGTGTTTTCCCACTGGGCCAGACGACAACACAGACAAGAGCAGAAGTAATTGGCTTCTCCATTGGAGAAAAGAAATCAGAGCTCTTGCAAAGGACGACACAGAATTCCACCCAAACGAAGAGAACAGTTGACCATCTTCCATTAGCAATGGGAGCAAAAAATATACAGAATTCATGGCTATCGTCTCTAAAAACTCTTGAAACACCACCACCTAACATTAATTACAAGGTAAATCAGTGACTGCAGTCAAGTTTCGCAACGGAAATCATCATTTGTGGGCTTAGAGGCAGAAATTACTGAGGTTGATACCCTGCCCATCCACAACCATTAGAGCAGGATTGATCCCACGTCTTCTGGGAACAGCACGCATGCTGATACTGGCTCTGCGCCACGTCTACAAAACGGAAGTGTAGGTGCTCAATTCCGAGGGAAATATTTGGCATGAGAAGCAAGTTGTGCTCCAAAGAACAAGTGCAAAGACAAAAGAAAGGAGAAAGCTATTTCTACCAATTGTGCAATTACCTCCATTCCCATTAATAACGCCACGACACAAGACTCAAACTAGAAGGGCTAAAATGCAGGTGCCAGAAAAGGACAGCTTTTAAATGATGCCTTATTTTTCTTTTATACATTGCAGACTGTATCAGCTGGAAAGGGATTTTTAATCTTGGTTTATGTAATCTGATTCTCAGAGAAGGTCTCAAGTTTGCTCTGACCTCTCTTGCGCTCCAAATTTAATATGGGAATGGAACACAAAACAAAACGACCCCCAAATCTCCAATTCCCTGAAGACTTACTTGAAATAGAAACACCGAAAGGTTCTTTACCATTCCTTTTCAAATTGCAACTGGAAACCATTGGCACTCTGTGTAACTTCTGAAGGGTCGGTACTGGCTGTGGAGCCCATTCTCCCAAAGATCCAGTTGGTCCAGAAGAACCAACAAATAGCTTATAAAGAATATATATATATATAGGAATAAAAGCAAGTGAGCTTAGGTGTGGACTGATGAACGGAGATGACACAAGCCACACAGCAGGCACCAAAAGACAAGAAGGTTGTTCAGAAGCAGGACCAGCAGCTTGAGTCAACTACCAGGCTGCATCCACCAGGTGTGAACAGCCTGTCAAGACAGCTCTGTAACACGTGTGTCTTCGAGATGTTTGTTCTTGCATCGTGCGTAAGGCGGCAACAAGAATACTGAAGGATAAAATGTCTTAAATTTTAAGTATGTAACACTCTTCTAGTGCATCAACACTGCAGCCTGGCAAATCCCTCAGAAAACGCTGCGTTGAAGACCAGGACAACGACGGAAGGGTTTGGGCAGCCCGAAAGCACTGCTGCAGTTCGATTCAACCCAGTCTGTGAATCCAGGCGCAGCCCCTACTCGACAACACTGACAACAAAATGAGAATTTGATTTACGAAACTGCTCAGAACTTCCCTCCCCTGCTGTCTACAGTCTTTGGTAATCTCAGAGGGACCTTGCAAAAAAGGGGGATTTTATGCAGCAAAACCCAGAACGGAGAAGAACACTGGAAAAAGGGGCAGCATTTCCAGCTGGAGCTCACATTCAACTTCCAGAACAAAAGAAGTGACCTGGACCTGTTATATCCTGCTACGTCCTGTTTTATGGAGCCTGATGCTTACAGGTCAGAGGAATCTGGAATTCCCTACAGACTGACTGGAATATTGCACTTGGCAGACTGCCTCCAGCTAACGTGTGTCCGGTGACTAAGAACTGCCTACCAGGAGCAGCAGCCACTTCCCAGATTCAGGAGCTCGTTTCAACAGCACCGAGTCCTCTCTTTCATCATCCACCACTTCATCTGCCCACAGAGACCAGGTGAGGAGCCAGCAGCAGCACAGGTTGGTTTGAGAGGCTCCACTCCTGGTATCAAAGAGTAAACCAGAAGGGTGAGGCAGCTACTTTAGAGGACTCAGTTCTGCAGAACTGTAGGAAGAATTTTGTTTAGGAAAGGGTTCTTTTCAGGTCGAGGTTTCCAAATAACTCAGAGGCTCATTAAAAAGAAAAAAAAATCCAACAGAAAAAAAAACAAAAACCAACCAACCCAACAAGAAAGGTAAGTTCTCAGCTGCAGGAGAGCACGTACCAAGTGAGCAGATGCTGGCACTGCTCTTTCTACACGTGTTGTACTTTTCCCCAGCAAGGACCGTGGGATTAAGCTACTACCTCTCAACGTTAGTGCTGTGCTGTAATTTACGGAGAAGGATCTGCGTCAGGTCAAAGGTGGTGAAGCTTATTCCCACTGCAATTGGACCTTTGACCCAGTTCATGCTGAGTCCTTTGTACAAGCCACGGATTAGTCCCTCTTCTCTTACAATCTCCTGCATGGTGAGAAGGATGGAACTGTACGTGTGTCCCATAACCCCCGCCGTCTGCATCCGTCGGCGAACCACGTCCAGGGGGTAAGAAGCCGACTGGCCAATCAAGCCTGCGCAGGCACCGAACAAAAGCCGCTCCGGAGGGGATGGCTGCAATTTCCCACTGTGATCTGAGAAAGAGAAAGTAGCAGAGTGGAGAAAGCTTCTCGTAATAAACACATGATTAAGGTCAAGTGGGCTGAGAGCCAAAGAGAGCACTGAGTGCCAGAGCTCCTGAGATTTTGTTCCCAACTTGGTTGTTAGCCGACTTGGTACGTAACCAAGTCCTTCTGCACCCAGGACTTGCACCTTCTTGTTCCTCTGCAAGACACAGATCCTGCTTTTCTGCAGCTTTTCTTCTTCACAGTCTGGGATTGGAGAGGAGGAGGCACAAGGCGTCCTCCACAAGCACAGAACTGTGCGATTGGCTTCGAGGCCAGGGAAAGGACTCGTAGTGTCGAAATCCAACACCTCAAATTGGCCAAAAGCCTACACCGTTTCATTTGAAAGCAAACCAAGATGCCTTTACCTGCATGTAGTTTCTTCAGCGTCTCGTAGGTGAAGAAGCTAAGCCCAGCATACGGAATCACTCCAAGGATGGTTGGTGTAAATCCCCTATACAATGTCTTCAGTCCCTCCTCTCGGGATATCCGGATGAAGACATGAACAATATTGCTGTACCTAGCACGCGGACACAGGAAAACCAAATCTGTGCTCGTTAGTGACTGCACACGCCAGCAGGATTTCCAACAGGACTTTCTGAAGGATCTACAATTAATTAATTCAGCTCTGAGCTCATCAAACAGCTCAGAGGGATTTCAGAAGCCTGTCTGCCAACGGAGAAGCCAGTCACCGGCTCTCCCACAGCCCTATCACGACATGCTCTCCTGTCTGTCAGATCTCTTCCGGAGGCACCGTGCCAGCTGGCCTCCTGAAGAACCAACACACAGGTTTTACTAGTGAGGTCTTTGAGTATCGATCTCCTTCCAGCCCCTGGACTAACCAGGACTCTGGTCATTTAATCAGTGCTCAGACCCCAGCAGTAAGAGGTTTATTACATCAAAGGCTCCGAGCAAGAAGTGACCCAGAAAACAGGAGTAAAGTCGTCTGACCTTAACAGAAAGTTCTGCATTTGTTTGTGGTGCTTGTACTTGCTTTCGTTAGGCACTTACATCTCCTTCGGCGTGACAGCCATTCGAGCACGGACCATATCCAAGGGGTAGGTTAACATGGCAGCCGTTGTGCCTGCCAGAGAGCCAGCAATGAATCGAGGAAAGGGTGTCAGCGCTCTAAAGTAAGGTGAGAGAAGAGACCAAACAGATCACCTGGAGATGGAAATACTATGTGACTTTTGAGGATGGCTCTACTCTATCAGCTACTGAATCCCTTCCTTGCCTGCGTACTGAAGAGAGTCGGGTGGGGGGGGGGTTGAAGCAGCTGTGGTTTGCCACAGCCACGTTGGACAGAGGCTTAGAGAAAACCTCTGCTGAGGACAGCAAGCCTGACTTGGGGTGTCTCAGACACTATGTGCCCCAGAGCAAGAGGCTCAGGCCACGTGCACGGCTCAGATAACAGCACAAGGCTGGAACTCGTTGCTTCTCCTGCAAAGAAAAGCTCTTTGTTTTGCCTGCCCACTCTCAGCACAGGGAAGTGCTCACTCAGTGTCTAGGCCACTTCTTGCTCACGCCTCTAGAAGACAGGGTCGTCTTCTCACAAAGATCTCCCCTGTGCAAGACTAGAAGCCCAGCCCTTTGCTTAGCACCCTCATACCCCCTGTTCTGCGAAGCCCCCACGAGAGGGGCTGGCACAACTCTGTACCCACAGAGCTTTCAACTCGGCAGGCCTGGCAAAGCGGAGAAACGTGCTCCCTCCCTACAGCCTACGGTCCCACCACCTGCTCCATCCTCCTCTGCAAGGAGCAAAGCCACGCTGCATCTTACTTTCCCTGGAAGCCGTAGTAACTCCCCAGGAGCTGCTTGTACTCTTCGTGCGCGCAGAACTGGATGGCGGCGTAAGGGATGACGCGGACCATGGTGGCCGAGTTCCCTCGCCAGAGACTCCAGAAGCCTTCGTTGAGGTAGGTGCGATAAATCAGCCTGTAGGCTTCCTGCAGGCAACAGATCAAAGGTCAGACAGGCAGATCATGATAAGAGGGAGTCCAAACAATAGGGGGGGGAAGAGGTGACCCCGTAGCTTAACCTCTCCAAATCCTCCTTCCCACCCCGACCACGGCAAGCCGGTACCCGCTGTTTGCGCTCGCAACCCCGACTCCAGAACAAGACGACTAAAACGTCTTCTCTGGGGAGAGTGAAGCAGATACACTGGAGCAAAACAGAACCGCAGCCAGGAAGACAGAGTTTTACATTCAAGACATCTTCATTTTCCCTCTGAGGGCAAGGCATGGAGCTGGACTCCTGTTTGCACAAGCCATTTCTCAACCCAAATTAATCTTCTTAGTATAAGACAGAAACATTTGGATTACGCATATTAGCGCAGCACACATGGAACACCCGTTATGCACAAATATTCAGCAAGCCACGACAGCGATCAGCTCCCAAATTAAAATCTCCTACATACTCTGAAACAACTCCAGTGGTGGTTGGGGGAAAGAAACCAACCACTGAGGGAGAAGGAGAGAAGGGGAGAAGGGGAGAAGGGGAGAAGGGGAGAAGGGGAGAAGGGGAGAAGGGGAGAAGGGGAGAAGGGGAGAAGGGGAGAAGTAACATAAGGTCTAGTAACATAAAACCCTAAGTGATGCCACAACATTTATTGTCAGGTCACAGGTAGAACCTGGAGCATGAACAAGGACTGAGGCCCCTCTGTGCTTTGCACTGGACAAAAACATGAAGAAGAAAGAGCACTGTCCTAAGGAGTATTATAAACACTGTTTCCCCTCTGTCCTTCTATGCTCTTTCACTATGAGTGCTGCTAATAAAACCCGAGCAAGAAAGTTAAATAAATACAAACAAAAGATGCTGTTAGGGCTATTACTACCATTAATCAAACACTTCAGGTCAACAGCAGACAGACATATCACCTCACCTTGGCAGAAAATCTTTTTGAAGACACTAAAAAGAAAAAATGAGCATTAGGTCTTGCAATACATTTAGATGGATCAAATAAACCACACAGGCATTTTATCTAAGGGATAAAAATAGAAGCAAAAGAATTAATGCAAGAGAAAATAGAGATCCTTTATCATAAACAAAGACTTTCCACTGGTAAGCGCTCCCAAATTCTCTTTCACACATAAGTTCATTTTTCTACCTACTGTTATGAAAACACTCAGTTTCTGTCACGCTTCTTACTTTAAAGCACTAAAACTAAATGAATAAATAAAAAATAAAATTAGAAAAAAAATAAAATCAAAACTGCACCGACCACTTATTTTAGTAGAGCATTTCCAGGCACAAGCTCCAGCCTAACGCCAGGATCCAGCGAAGAACGGGTCTGTTTAGCGAAGTTTCACGCAAGAACGGTTTCATCCTCGCAAAACTCGAATGAACACTCAGTTTCTTTTCTTGCATCCATTCAAACTGACAGCATCTCTTTAACTATGTAATACACGAGGCATTTGGAAGCCAGATTTATTTGGCATAGGGCAGCTCTGTTTTGTAACATTCCTGCAGCAGGAAGGAAACCCAGGCTAAAACCCCAACAGCCCCGCTAATGAAACATGGTTCCAATTAAGTGTCTATTGCAGTTTCTTCCAAACTCCTTTGAGACTTGTAACCTCTCAAGTGTATCAAACAATCACATGCAAATACATTTTCACCATGCTGCTCCTTTGTGCAATTCAACACTTGGTTTTGGTTTTGTTTTGTTTTTTTTTTATTTCAGGAAATAAAACCACCTCAATAACCGATTGCAGCTGGCCCTGCAATGGAAAAGAGCTCTTTTCCCTCTTTCACAAGAAAATTCTTCAGGCTCTAGTTCAAGGGACGACCTTCCTGCACTCATACGACCCAAAAACGCCACAAACAGGGAAGAGGCCCAGAGTAAAAACCTTTAGAAGAGCAAGAGACTACAACACCCGTTAGATCCTAAAAAATTGGTCAGAATGGGCACGCTGTAATCATACCCTTTGCAGCAAATTTAATGGGCCAAATCAAACAGGTCTTTTTATAAATGTAGACCTGCACAAACTAAAGGTGGTTTATACGACAGCTGTTGGCTCGCCCCAGCTCTGCAGTTTCCATCTCACCTCTGATCCTGACGTTTCCAACCTCAGATGAACTCCAGTTTGTTCTGGTGAGAAAGCACAGCGCGTACTGGTTGCTGCATGAGCATCTGGCTGCAGATGCGATCCCAGCCTGCAGCCAGCCCAGGCTTTAGCTCCCTACAGCCTCAGCTCCCTCATCCCTATCCCCCTGCTATTCCAGACCTCGGCCCCTGCTATGTCGAGAATGAAAATCATGTCAAATGAAAGTCAATTCAAAATTAAATCTCATCCAGGGATTAGATTAAACCTACCCAATTCATTTAATCTGGGATGTCAACCAGATTTAAAATTCTTGGCCTCACCAAATGTCTACTGTATTAACGGTCTGCACTCTTCCCTTTGGGACAATTAGTGTAGCTGACAGGTCCTGCAGGGAAACAAGGGAACTGCATGGAGCCCATCATCGGGCTGAATCCCAAATCCCGCTAAACGCATGAGAATTCTCTATTCCAATTAACTAAATTTCATTTTTCAGTTACACACTTCACAGGTCCCAAAAAGGGCTCTGTAATCCAAAGCCAGGTATGCCACCATCGTTGCCTCTTGCAGTACTTTTCATAACTGACTTCAACTCCAACCAAAACAATTCAGCTGCAATACAATGCAACTCTTAGCAGAAAAGACTGCGGGCACGTGAGCAGGCACGAGCCTGGCACCCAGCCTTTAACAGGAGACTCAAACAGCTCAGCTACCTCCTTCCAGTGCCACCACATCTCCTCGCATTTCTCCTTTCCCCTCCCCACCTTATTTCTCCAAACTGGACACAGAAATCCCGAGTGTTACCAAGCATCCCCTCAAATGCTGCCTTTGCAGTGTCTATTTCCGCTGCGCCCCGAAACTCTGCCGTGTGTCACAGAACACACGTGGCCAGCAAACGTTGGTGAGCCACAGGCACCAACTCTAACCTGCAATGAGCACATCTGAGCGACACTGAAATAGCAAAACTCTTGCTGACTACCACGGGACTCGGATCCAACGGTACGGGCCGGATGCACAGCTGATTGACACCTGCAATAATCCTACCAAGAATCGAACAATAGGTTTTTCGACTCGATTCGCTGCGGTAACGTCGCTATTCTGCCTGCATCCTGCCAGGTCTCTGCAGGCTGAAGGAGGGCAAAGCACTGGAGAACAGACTGGCTGAACGGATCAGAGCAGCTGGTTTGGATTCTGCTAACAATAAAGTAAGAGCATTTTGCAAAAGACAACGGGACTTACCTTGGAACATGATTTTTGTCCTATCCAGTGGAGCTACTGCAGTTTTAGCAACAGCACCAGCCAACGCACCAGACATCAGGGAGTTGAGTACTTTCTTTTTCTCCTGGTTACCCTGGAACAAGGCATTGTTCAGTATGAAACAGTCAATCTTAAACAAAAGTAGCATTATTTTATCTTTGCTTCAGCATGTACCCCCCCTCTCAAGGACTCGGGTCAAAACTATCTTCAAAATTTCAGGCAAAATAAATTCCTCGTCAGATCACGAAGAACCAAGAGTAGACTTCTCTGCCAAGCTGCAAAGTTCCAAGATCTGCCACCTCTTGCATGGACTGTTTTCTCCTTGTTGAGATTTCTAAAAGCTCAACCACCACCTCCTCACGATTTAGCCACGTACAGAAGGTAAGTTTCTTTCTTGCCCTTCCAGTAACACGCAAGCCCTATTTCCACATTGTTCCAATAAAAGAAGACAGGCTTCCTACAATGATAAATGGAATGGAAGTGGTTTTGTTATTGACACTCCTGCCTCAGCTCATAGTTATAAAGCGGCTATCTCCTCGTAACACATGGGCAGAAGGCAAGTAAATGACTTGAAATCTAACACCGTGAAGGTTACGGACTGAAAGACAAGTCAAGACAAGGCTTAAGAATGTGAACTTGTGATATGTTTCGTGTTTTCATGAAGAGGAGTTAACAGTTTTCTGTTTTCAGAACGTTTCACAGCTAAAAAGTTTATGTTTATTACCAAAGTACATGGTTCAGTTCAATTTTCCATTCCAATCTTTGCCTGTCCGGTGGTAAACACCACGGCAGCCAGGCGAAAGCAGCACCGTGTGAACTCCAGCCTGAGTTTTGGTCGAAATCAGACCAAGGGTCAGCATCTCTCCCAGTGGTCCTAACAGGAGTCCAGTAACAGCTGCAAGAGCAGGGAAACCAAGACTTGCAGCTCTCTTCCCAGCTCTGCCACTGGGAACACGACACAACGTGGAACGAGGAACACAGCCCTGCCTGCCTGTCAGCTGTGAGCGATGCCCAGCTCTTCCCAGAGGGCTGGAACTGCTTGGCTATCCTCAGGGACAGTGAAAGTTCCATGTTCCGTGGCTTGCACATAGACTACAGCTCTTTCAGGACTCTGCAAGCTCAAATCCCACCGAGCTGCGTACTCTCCAGAGTAGCCACATGGCTCTTCTCTCAAACCCACTGCATATACCCAATAATCTCCTGCTCTCACCTCTGCTGGGAGATGGGTTGATGCAATGGGCTCCACATCCTGTCGTTTGAAATCCACTTGACCTTCTCTCACACCATTACCCATACCAGTTGCACTTACGAGCGGGTAGAAGAGCTACGGCTCCTAAATTGAAAACAGGAACAAAGTTAGTGTCAAAAGTAGGAAATAGGCAGGTAATAAAAAGCTGGTACAAGAAGGAAGAGCGACTTGTTCCCAGGGCCATTTTCAGTAGGAAAATCCCTATCCCAAGCTCCCAGCCAAGGAGCATTTCCAGGATCTCAGCACCATTTCCTTCCTTTAAGGTGCAAGTGTATGTGCGTGGGGGGTACTTTGGTGCTGTGTAAAAACTGCGTCACGTTTTTCAGCCCACAAGGAACTCAGCTGCATGTTACAACATCCAAACAGCCACAGTTTCCAGAGGGAAGAATCAGACCCTGTCCTCTTCCATCACTTACAGTGAGGATTTTGGTTGCTATTCAGTCTGACTGCTGAGCATCTAGATATTGGAGAAGGCATACAGAAATTTAAAACCCAGCCCTGGAAAATGGAAAAAAAGTCACAGCATAAGCCTGCCATAAGCAATTGGAGGTTATTTTAGGAAAGAGAGAGATCCAATGCCTCACACGTGCCACAAGGGCTATTTTGATGACACCAGAGATTTGACTGAAAGCAGCACGTCGGTGACCGCAGAACTCCTCCTCCATGGCTGCACCGCACGTGTGCTCGTGAGCCAGTGCAGTTTGCACGGATCTTTCGTGCTGTGACACACTCTCGTGTGCCTCCTGAAAGGCAAGGTCAGGCCAACCTTAGCTGCAGAGCATAAATGCAAAGATAATGCTTCAAATAGAAGCTATCGCTTCAGCATCGAACTTTCTAATATTTCTGTTTTTCGCAATGAGGTTTTTTCATCCCTAAGTGTGCAGGAATGAAAGAGCTGAAGTCTGAAAAACTTGAAAAAAAAAAAAAAACAACTTGAAAAAAAACTTGAAAAACTTCTTTCTTACTCAGAAAGGTGGCCTCTCCGAGCTCCGACTCAATCCACAGATGGGGTGTGTAACTACAAAGATCAGTTTTCTAAGCAGCGGCGCAAACAGCCACGCGTTCATCCTGTGAGCTTCCTTTCAAGGAATGCGGGATTGGGAAATCTGCACTCCCACATTGCTCCCCAGTTCTGCCCCAGCCTTCTCATGTGTCCACCAGCAGTTACTCCACCTCTGCCCCTCTCCGATGCCCGGGAAACCTCAGGCACAACAGCTTGCTTAGTTGGAAAGATCGTCCTAAGTCTCTTTTTTTTCCCCTTTTTAACAACCTCTAGACATTATATGCTTGTCAGCACCTTTCATACTTGCTGACCTGTTTTTCTGCCCCACATCACTCTCATAAATTAGTGCCAGACTTCACTTTCAAAACCCCGTGGCTGCAGCAAAGCCAGAGACAGATCAGCCTTGTCTGCACCAGTGCATGACCGATTTGGGATGATGAAGCTATGCGTGACCCGTGTGCTCGGTCCAGGACAAACACACCTGAGCATCTTCAACGCCAGACATCACTTGCCAGAGCTTTGGGAAGACACATACCAACGTGTTTACAACTCCTGAGGGTGTTTTCGGAAAGAGGAGATCGCAGGATGTTGCTCAGAGAGTAATAACTCAAAATTTTTATGAAAGGTAATATCTGACAGTCCAAAGAGTGACCTAAAGAGCATCAACGTTTGCACTTGAAAAGTTCTATCACAGAAGCTCGGTCGCATCAGACCACGTGAACAAAAAGCATCCAGACCAAAGATGATTCACAACGCTACGGCAGAGCACTTTATTAAATTACTCTGAAGAACACAGACTGCTGATTATTTCTAATTACTATCCACAGTTGCTTCCTTTCCTTCTCATCTCATGTACCTGGAAAATTTATTGTTAAACAATGCCTTTCAGCAAAAGCATGAAAGAACTGACAGATAAAGATATCATCCCTAGCTAAGAAATGTAGGTCACAATATCAGATTTATCTCTACCAAAAATAAGCCCACAAAAATAGAAATCATGCTAAAGAGCTTAAGAATGCGATATGCAACTTTATTTTAAAACATGGTTTTGAAAGACGATTGAGAGATGACTAAAAGGAAATTTTAAATACTAAACTGATGTTACTAAGCCTGCACTTATTTTAGAACATGCACATGCATAGAGATGATATCCATTTACCCAATAATATTCTCTTCCATCCTATTCAGAGATGGTCTTTTTTTATTCTTAGTGCCCAATGCCCTGATCTCACAAACACCTGTCTGTACGCTCAGTTTTACACACTAAAACCACCCACATGCTCTACAGAAATACGGGCTCTAAACTTGCAGAGGCTTAAATGTAAAAATAGCACTTAGTATTTTTATTTACATTTGCTCTCTGCAAAGCAATGCAGCTTTATTTTAGTTTGGAATTGGGCTGGATTCTGATGTCACTGAGTTATTAGCTGAATTCTGGCTGTTATGACCAACAACGCACACTGGAGCCACGGGGAACAAAGCTTTGCTTTAATTTTCGGTGTGAATTTGTAGTGCCTGGCCATCGGAAGCCAGACATTATTTTGCATACATAGCAATCTGACTCGCTCATTAAGTAATCCACTGAAACCCAACATGGAGCAGCTGGGTATTTTTTAAATCCTTGTATTTTGTATAGCCCCGTACACAGTCATTACTCACGTCTACAAAGCCTCAGGAAACAAGAAAAAACAGCTGTGGATTAGATTTGGTTTTTTATAACACACTCCTGTGTTATTTGTATGGTAGTTAGACGGGTCCTTGTCACATATCTGGATCCAGACTCTACGTGCTGTAGGGTAAACCATTCCCCTAAGAGAATATATCATCAAAAAGTAAAATTGCTGGCAAAGGCGAGGTCAAAAGTTAAAGGGGTTTAATGAATAACACACACTGTGCTTTTACAACAAAATGCACGATAGTTTATTGAAAGTACAAAGCACTAACTCTGGCATTCAGCTTCAATTCCACCAGAAAACGCTGCCTGTAACTTCACTAAAGCACAGTCACCGATCAAAGCTTATTGACCACGCGGCGACACAGGGAAGCTCAGGCCCTTCGTTTCTTTCTCAGACCAACTGACCACCTCACCTGCCCAGGACTCTTCCTAGGTATCATCCTGCCCGTGTTCCAGCAGCTGCAGAATCATCTGAAACGGGTCCCAGTCCCTGCGTGCCAGGAGATGCACGGAATATGCTCCGCACATTAGGAACTGGTGCATTGTTAGTCTTTCCTTTCCATTCTCCCTGCTCTCTCTAGCGGCACTTAATGAATACCTGAGCAAGTTCAATCAAGCTGTCAAATTGACTCTCTGACAAGTTAGACGTTCTGCTTCTCTTGGTGGTGATTTTGATTAAAAGGACAGGCAAGACAATCAAGTTATTCGGATGATAAAAGCAACCTACGAGGAAGAATGTCTTACAGGCAGGTGCCAGTTCGTTGCCCAAAGGGGGTGGGGGTTCAGAGAAAAACCAGCTGTGGATGTCCAAGTCACCTGGGAATCTAGTCATGATGCTACAGTTCAGCTATTTCATTCGAACATATTTTAAATTAGACAGTCTTAAGATAATTAGTTCCTCAGCAGAAGAGCCAACGCGTTTCAGAGACCAGCTTCCTAACTAAGAAATTAAGCACAAATTCTCCAGTTAAAGAGTGTACAATTAAAAGCACATTGCTAAAGTAAAGGCTTACAGACGACGATACAGTTCCATATTTCAAAATTAAACCCTATTTAAAAGTCTGACTTCACACCACTGGGGCACAACCTACCTGAAATCCCTCCTTTATGTATTTTACCGGCTGCGCACAGATCAGCACCACCAGCTTCCAGGAGCAGCAGGAAGGAGGAGATCTGGGTTTTGCAGAAAGCTCACAGCTGATGGGGGCAGAAATCACACTGCCCATCCTCTCCGGGCTTCGCCAACATCCTAACCACTCCTGCTGTGCCAACACCCGGCCAGACCTGAAACTACCTGTTAATAGAAAAATGCTCTAACTGGAAAAGCAGACCTAGTCATTATGGTTTTCACATTCCTACGCAGTCAGAACACAGGAGAAGCCCGGGCACCCAGCCCAGCCACCGGCTTGCAACGTGTCATTACCACAAGACAAGTTTGGCTGATGTCCTCCAGTGGAATTTCGACCTGTCACGAAACGGTAAGATTTCTAAAAGAATGTCATCTCTCCAGCAAGAACAGCAGATACGCTGCAAAGCCAACAGTCAGCACCATCAGCTATCGGAATCCAACAGCACCTATTTGCTAAGAAATGTTTGCTTTTTCCTCGGACAACCCCAGTAGGAATTGTAAAAGTAGTTTAGAGCCCTGGCCATGGGAGTGTCCTGACAGACAGGTCATGGCAAAACCACAGGGTTTCGGCAGGCGAGAGCTGCTGGGACTCGATGCCCACAAAATGCGCTGTACTCCTGAGACAGGCAGAAGAAACTCAGCCCTGCTATCCACTTCTCCCTAATCATTCCCAAAAACCAGGATGGATAGCTGCTGCTGAGGAGACAAAACGAGGTGCACACAGGAACTTAGAAGATTTTTTTATTCCATAAGTGGGAGCTGTGTACAGCACCTGCCACACTTACAGCTCACGGACGTCACTGTTACACGAACTCGGATGAAGCCACGGTTCACCTCTGGGACAGAATTCCAGTTTCATTCAGGTAAAATCACTGGTGTAACTCCATTCAGATATCAGCTGCCCTCGTTACTCAAGAGCTATCCAGTTCCTAATTGTTCTTTCTTTTATTGCACTGTTAACGTCACTAATGAAAGCGTAGAATTAAATTAGGGGAAAAAAGAAAACCAGGAGAGTTCCTGCAGAAATTTTCACACATTTTCCCAGGCAGGCTGAAGTTAAACAGTACCCAGGGAAGTTGCTCAATTAGGTTTCCTTTAATTGTTAGGCTGAGCAATTGAGCCTGACAGAGAAAGAGATGTGGTAAGAGCTGAGATTACTGCAGCCTTAAATTCATCCTCGGAGCAAAAGCATCACAGAAAAAAAGGGCTGAAATTCTCAGAACGGGAGGATGAACTATAACTAGCTCACCCCTTGAGGTCCATCTTTGCCTTCCAG